TGAATGCCTCTACTCCAATTCTATCGCAATTCTGTTTAGCCTGGTCAAATGCACCAGCCCTGAATGTGTCAGCGCAGACTACGCCTACTCTCATTCCTCTTCTTTTATAGTAATAGGCGTACTTGCAAACTGAGGTTGTTTTACCAGCACCCTGCAATCCAACAAATACCACCGTATGCTGCTCGTTCTTGTTGAACTCAACTACGGTGCTATCTCCACCCAGCATTCTCGCTATTTCATCAACAACGACCTTCTGAACCATTTTGGCCCTGTTTGTGTTTCCGTGGATGGCATTCAGGCCTATTTTGGAAGAAATTGCACTACGAAGGGATGCGACTCTTGCTACGCCCACGTTTGCATGGAGCAGTTCCCTGCAGATTTCATCTATGAGTTCAGCAACACGTTCGTCAGTGACGTGTGTTTCAAAGAGGCCTTGAAGTTTGTTGCCTATGAAATTGCCGACATCAGCCAACATGGGATAAAAAGAAGAGGATTTTATTAGTAGGAGATATAATGATATGGGGAAGGATACTGAATTGAGTAGAATGACTACAGTATGGTTATTTGGTGGATTAATGGAATTTTAAATTTAAAGGGTAAAAATATGCACTATAAACTATATTATACCTGGTATTTGAAGGGTGTATCTTTATCAAAATGTGTGATCAATGAATATTTGGATATCTAACAAGTTCTGTTGTAATAATCTACAGGTTAAACAATCACAACAAGGATGAAATAGCGATCAGGTATTGCAACCATGATTGAAGCGGATACTCAAAGTATCAGTCAATCCATGCCAAGGCATTTCTTGGTGAATTCAGTGCACCCCTGAGCAATATCATTAGGATGGGTTGTAAATGATTTAATAACCATACTTAAGTGCAGATCATGATAGAGGTGAACCTTAACAGGAAGGTCGTTATGAAAATAATTGATCGCCTGCGCACATTTTTTTGTTAAATGTGCGCAGATAATCCTGTTAAGCTCAGCGGGGATGGTATTGTGGTCCAGGTAGACGAAAGTCTGTTCAGGCACAAACAGAAATACCATCGATGTAGACAACCAGGGCGTGAGATCTGGGTATTTGGACTAGCTGATGTGTCCTTTACACCAGCTAAAATCTCATTGCACGTGGTAGATGATCGTAAAGCCTCCACATTGCTGCCTATCATTGAGCGTGTATGCCTTCCAGGCACTATCATTAACAGTGATAAATGGAGGACATATCTGATAAGCCCAGATTCACTCATGAGACTGTTAATCACAGTGAGAGCTTTGTGAACCCAGTTACTGGCATCCACTCTCAGAATATTGAGTCAACGTGGAATACGTGCAAGTACAACATTAAGATGCACAGAGGGTTTCTTGGTGTTAAACTGGATGAACTGTTGTGTGAATTCATGTGGAAGCACAATACTGGAAAGGAATGGGCTTGGTAGCATTATTTGAGCTTCTTAGGATTCAATAGATCACACCGATTTATTCTTACTAAGAAAATGCCATGGGAAAAGGGACTTGATCTAAAACCCTGTGGGAAAAATGGACCTTGAAATGAGGAAGGAACTTGATCTGAATATTTGATCAAAAATAAACTCGTTTCTTATGTACTTGACATATAGCATTTTCAGGTTATTGTATTTGCGGACTTGCTGATTCATTAGTTTCATCGTATTCTGAAAGTGTATAGTCTCTTCGTTAACGCAAACAGTCTTTGTTTTGGTGTCAAAAGAATAAATTATTCTTTGCATTTTGTTTATTTCACATCAATTAATTATGTTAGGTGTATTGTTTATTGAAGATTCCAGTTCCATTCTTGGGGTTCTCAAAATGCCGTTTCTTTTATAGTCAGTGATTGATAGGAGTGACACTCTTAGTGATCTTACGAATAGTCACTTACTCATACCCAATAAATTCAATACTGTTTCTATATATTTCACCAGTAGCAGCCTCAGCTGTTCTCATTTTTGTAATCTGTTCTTTTTCATACTCCTTGTAATATCTGTAGTTGCTTAGACTGCCCTGCAACAACAGCTTCTTGAAAAATTTGATAAAGGTTTCTTTGTTAAAATTACTTTGTGATATTCTGTACGAAACATCTAAAAATAATTATGTACATTTGCAACCGTGTAGGCATCGATTGCAGTTGCCTCCTCCTCAAACCTGTTGTAAACTCCGATCTCAAAGTCCCTCATGAATCTTCCGACTCCATCCAAAACAAGATCTGGAATGCTTCTAAACATGGAATCACACAATAATACCGGCGTATTTATGCTGCCTAAACAACCAATACTTTGTTCATTGAGCATTATTTATTAAACCCCCAATATTTGTCCAAAACCCAATACTATGAAACATACCTGAATATGATATATTACTCCTAAATACTAAAATAATAGCTAATATATCATATTAAATACACGCTGAAACCACCAATTGCATCTGAAACAGCCCTTTATATTGAGGATGCATTTCCAGACATGAAGCTCATCATCAGTGCCAACAGGCTTCCTGTGACTGTGAAGAAGAATGCTGTTGGTCAATTTGACTACAAGAGAATCGACGGCGGCCTTGTTACTGGAATTGACTCGCTCAGGTCATCCATGGATTTTGCCTGGTTTGGAAATATTAGTAGCAGTCTCACTGAAGAAGAGAAAACAAGAATAAGCAGTGACCTCATAAAGACGTATCAAAGCCATCCTGTCTTCATAGACCCAGAACTGAACTCCCTCTGCTACGATGGCTTCTGTAACAGCATCCTCTGGCCTGCCCTACACTCATTTCCAGATAACGTCTGCTTCACTTTCAAGGAGTACGATGCCTACAAGAAGTACAATAGGATATTTGCTGAAAAGATTGCTGCTGTTATGGACGAAGATGACATCGTATGGATCCACGACTACCACCAGATGCTTGTTCCACGCTACCTGAAGGAGCTCAAGCCCCACGTCAAAATCCTCTTCTTCTCCCACACCGCATTCTGCGAGCCTGAGAACCTCGATCGCCTTCTCTGCGCCAGGGATCTCCTCAATTCCCTCTCTCTTTGCGATGTCGTTGGCTTCCACACGCCTGAATACGCCTCCAACTTCTCACTTTCCCTGGATTCCTATAAAATTGGTCGAATTCCTAAAATAAAAGCAATTTCCATCGGAATCGAACCCGGGATGTTCCGATCCTGTTTAGAGAAGGAGGAGACTAAGGCAGCCATTAGGAGACTTAGAAAATGCTACAAAAACAAACGTATTATTCTGGGCTTAGACAGGGCTGATTACATCAAGGGAATGCCACAGCGATTCAAGGGCATTGAAAGGTTCTATCAGA